GGGGGGGGGGGGGGGGGGGGGGGGGGGGGGGGGGGGGGGGGGGGGGGGGGGGGGGGGGGGGGGGGGGGGGGGGGGGGGGGGGGGGGGGGGGGGGTTATCCTTTTCTAATAAACGTGTGTTGTTTATTTGTTGTAATTTCTACCAGCAAATTATAAATTTATGTATTTTCATCTTCAAATTCTAACCTCTTAGTGGATGGTAATTTCTTTTTAGTTTTCAAACAATGCTGACCACATGATAGAGTAGTAATTTTGATGGTTTCCATCAATGTTGTCTATAAATTAGGTTGTTTACCAATCTTTTCCCCATGTGGTGAAATAGCTGAAAGAAGGGTTGTTTTATGAGTAGAGGTGGGCTCATAGTTGGTAGTAATGTACCTCCTTGTGGTCATATTAAATAGCAAGGCCCAACTCATTACAAGAAAACACGGAATAGCCGAAAGTTATTAGTTATATATAAACTATGTTTAGGCTCTGACCCTATAAATTATGGTTGGTCCTAAATTAAGTTTTTTATTTTCATTGATCATTTATCCATATGTATATATAATTTAAGAAGCCAACAAATTTTATTGAAGAGTCGAGAAGCTAAAATATAACTTAAATCCAAATTAAATAATTCAGATGTTCCTAACTCAGAAGACCAACTTACTTGAATAGCGCTACCCATAGACAAGCATTTGATGGAAAGCAGAAGCGCGGGGCTCACCTAATACATGAGGGAAGAAAAACAGGCTTTTTTTCTGCATGTTATTCAGTTAGTTTGACAACAAAAATAAATAATGACAAAGAAGATGAGAATCAGAGAGTCAATTTTATTTAACATGCAGGTGGTATTACCTGTTAATCAGCATGAAATTTGGCCAGAATATATACCTGATGACATCTTGATCTAATTACATATCAATTTTACCCAGTGTCTCCTAATATCATCACCTCCTTGCAGGAAGGCTCTCCTTTTTTTTTCTTTTTTTTTTTTGTATCTTTAAGACCCAATTAGGGAGAATAATATTATAAAAATAAGGCAGAAAAGTAAACTGCAGTGCGGATGGATCACTAACCTGATTGCTGGACACTACCTTGTAACCAAAAGATTCAATGCAGCCTGGGGTGAGACCCCAGGAATGACGCAGGACTTCTGACTTTAAGGCGGTTTGGCCCACAGCCAACAGCAGAGAGAGGTTGGTGTGAGGTGTTTTCCCTGTTCATAACAGAACACTTCTTTCCTGTGGTGCTCAAGCTGTTGTCTACTCCTTGCTTCCTTAATGCTGAATCTCTTGAACTTTATAGAGATGGGAATGGTTGTTCTGTTAGATCTATCTACAAAGACACCATCTTTACTAGTACGAAATACTTTGAAACCTGACTTGTCAGCTTTACAACAAACCGATGACTTTAATTTACCACACCTTGCATGTGGATGGAGTTTTTTTCAATCTTTTGAGACCCTACAAGAAAGAAACACGTGAAATCAGTCGGAATAATGGCTAGTTTCTAATATTCAGCAGGCTCGCGAAAGATTTGGGTAAATTGTTCTTAATAAGAAAAAAATATGTATATAGTTTGATTAAAAAAAAAAAAAAAAATTAAATGGCTATTGCTTCATTAACATTACAAACAATGAAGGAGACTGAACCCTATTTTATTTCAAATGTGGATACTTGAAAAGGAAAGAAGGTTAAACAATGACAATGAAGCTACTCAAACATACTACCACCAAAAGACGACTACAGGATTTTAGTTCTGAGCAGAATCTACGTCTGAAAACTTTGTAAAGAAAGTTAAGGAATGAAGCTCTATACTAAATGCCCTTTTTTTTTCTTTTGAGAACTGAGCAACAACTTAACTGATTTTAGGTAGCTTTCAATCATCTTAGATTCTTGTCAAAATTAATATCAAACCTTTCAGTTTATGAATGTCAAGATTTAATTTACAGCATTCCATACAGTGCATATATAATCTTAACTTCAATGAAAATTCAAATAAAGAAAGATTTTTTTAAAAAAATCTTAGATACTTAATTAGATCTTAACTGAACACTATTCAAAGTACCCTACCTGTTGAGCAGGCTGCTTTGTCCTATTATCATTTGTGATGTTCTTTTCATCCTCAACGATTGACGCTTAACCCTTAAAATCTCTGCGTCCTAATCATCATCATTATGGTCCCCAGGAGGTCGAATAGCTGATCTTGAACAGTTCTCCCCCGGTTGAAGGGAAGGAAAAGGTTCGCATGTATAACACGACACTTGAGAAACACTGGGGGTTTCATAATTCCCAAATTCATTATAAGCATGCTTCTGTATCTGTTTGGAAGGAAGCAACAGATGAGACTTCAGTTAAATCAAAATGTGGGCCTTCCTCCAATCCTTTTTTTTTTTTTTAAGAAATCTCAATAATTTTGTAAACGAAACGAAAACCAGATCTCAAGAAAACAGCAAAATCTTACAATGTTTGGCTTTGGACGTCGTGAAGTCTCAGACATTTCAGTTGTATTTCAGCGGCGCCACTCGCCAAAATCCTGCCTATATATATATATACTTCATTGCAGGCTGTAGTCAACAGCCTCAAGATGATAATAAATCGATAGACATGAAAGTTTCGAAGTGATACGTTCCTTTTTGTCAGTTTTGTACGCCAAAAGAGTCAACGACCCAATATAAACATACATCATTCAGAAGAAAAAATAAATGAGGTCGATCATTTTTAAACAAAATGTCAAACATATGTGTAACATTTCAATTTATTCTATTCATTTTTTGATAGGATTTCAAACATATTTTTCAAGCAGAAAACGAGGAAGTATACCATGGCAAAGGCACACATGATGTGCATAACAGCTGCAACAGACGTATGCATACACTGCAGAGGATAGTACCATGGGACCTTGGAGAAATCCCCGTTCACACCGTGGATTTCATGAGCAACTACCGAGCACAATTGTGGAAGCGAATCGGACTCATAAGAGATAGCTTGAGGGAATGGTGATAGACTGATCCACGAATGAATGAACTGAATCTTCAAGTTCTAAATTTGTGTGTAGAAGCATTGCTTCTTTACACAAAAGTTCTTCGCGAGGGAGTAGAGGAACTCAATTAAGAAGGGCATACACTGGCTAGCCAGAGTACCCAAAGGAAACCAATAGCTAATGGCGAAGTTCACAGCTTCACCACAATTGAAGCCTATAGATTTGAAGAGGAAAAAGAAAAGACTGCCTGTTACAAACTAAGAAAAAATGTCGATAATTGGATAAGGTGCAAGAAAAAAACAATACAGGATAATGATTAGAATGTCTCATCATGACTAAAGCCAGCATGGTATACTCTTCAGCAGAATATTTGGAGGAAACATGCCGTTTTTCCCGAAAGAACATCAAAAGCTCCATACTCACCATTTGCTGACAGAATATCCTCCCTGTACACATTTTCTTTGACAACGTTCTCAAATCACAAAGCCGCATCATCTGGAACACAATACCAAGTTTTTGATGCTCCACAAAGGAACCATAAAGAAACAATGAAAATAATTAATCATCCCAGGGGTAGTACTGATTACTTAAAATCTTGACTATTTTGGTAACGTACCTATGCAGGAAACCATCCTCCTATATATAGCATTGGCTCAGTAATTCCCTGAAGGATCCAACCCAAGTCATGTAAGAAACTAAAGCATTGCTACTTTCGGAGTATCATGTCTCATTAGTTCAACCTGTATGAAGCTCAGTTTATCCAGAATTGCTAACGATAATTTAAGGACACATTTTGATAATGTTCAGACTAAATGTTTTGAAAAATGGGAGCACTAAAACGGTTGGAACGCCTCTGTACCGAACAAATCCATTAAATGATTAAAAACGGGCGAAACCTTGATTATGTGAATAAGGGAAAAGGTCTGTGGAAGTATAAAAGTCATGAAAATATTTCAGCGGGAATGATGAAAGTCTTCGAAAACTTACAGAAGAGATAGAAGAGCTAAGAGAAAATCCCTACAAAAGAAAGGCAAGTCTATAACTCAACCAAGAAAGAAAACTAAAAACAAAGTGACTCATCCCACACAATCACAAGTAGTCACAGGCTCACCAGCTATCAACAATTAATCCACACTGTTTATTTAACAATGCAAATGGCCATCTATATTATGCATTAACGAAATCAATAAAATTTAATACGATAAGTGGTCTTAGGTCAACAGGCATATGATACATTACGTTTATACACAATGTCCAAGTGTGGAAATTTGTGCTGTGTAATAGCAATATAACAAAATACATAGAACGATCACTGACTGACAAACCAAGCCAAGTGATAATGAGAAGGCAGTGATCAAACGTATTGAGGAATTGAAAACGACAATTACATATTCAAACATTTAAAGTGATCAGTCTTGACTTCAAAATTTTCAGCGAAGTCCGTAATCTTTATAGAGAAGCGTTTGTTTAAACAAAAATAATAGGTAATATTTTTAAACGTCACAAAATAACCAAAACCAAATTCTATTCCACCACTAATACCGCATATCCCAAATTTCAAAGCAGTATGCGAGTGAACACAACTTGATGTTTTAAAGCTCTCACATCCCAAATTTCAAGCCTAGCTAGCATTCATTGTTATTTAAAGCTCTCACATCCATAAAAAATTAAGATATGGCTGGGAATTACGATTTGAATAGAAAAAATAGGGTGTCTGACCATATCTGGATTGCAATGCCTAACTAAAATATTATCATTTAAAGCTCTCAGATCCATAAAAAAATTAAGATATGGCATGGAATTATGATTTGCATAGAAAAAAATAGGGTGTCTGACCATATCTGGATTGCAATGCCTAATCTGGAGGCTTCCGGAGCAATCTTCTGCAAATAAACCAGAGGATCCTCGAATTCCCCTTCTGAGGGATGATACACGGGACATCTGGAATCTCATCAATCCATTCTAGATCACTGCAGTGAAACTTATCCATTTTTCTCTTTGAAAAGTCTTTATTCCTATTAGAAGGACCATTTGGACAGGAAAATTAATCCATATCGTCGTGAAATTTCTTGCCACGAGATATCGAAGCTCTTAAAGCATCTCCGTCACTTCTGATCAACATATTTGTTACGGTAACTGTTCCAACAACAGCTTCGGATTTCATTCGCTGAATCCTTTTTCGTTAAAGAAACTCTATGCTATTTTTAGACTCTCTGGAAGTGTAGATTCGTCCTTCCACCCGTCAACACTATAATCAGGATGAAATAGCAAATGTGGCTGTACAACTAGCTAAGGACTAAATTTCAGTTTTGATTTTGTACAAGATATTTGAACTTGAGAAGCTATTGAGGAACAAGGCTTGTAGAATTGCAGTTATTACCTATTTCACTTGATGAAGTTGGATAAAAAAACATTTAATCGAACAGATTCACGAGCTTCATCTAAAACTATATCAGCTAAACTCAGGCACGTCAGTTACAATTCTTATCACGGAACACAGACAGAGCAGAGGCAAACCAACATGCTAATGTTCACCAGTAAGTGCACCTGAACTTGTACCGCACGAGACAGAATTATAATTAATGAAAACAACAGTTCAATAAGATATTGCTAAAATTCAAGCGTTCGACCTCAACATAATATTATGATAAATCTGTTTTAAAATACAACTAAGTTCTTCACAGTTCAAACGGAAGTCCAGCGTCCTAGTTTTAGAGGAAAAACACAACTGAAAATTAAATTCAAAATTAGATGAATAGATGGATAAAAACAAAGAGTTTCTAAAGTTTCGAGCCGGAGAAAAGTTCATCCACTCAACCATTTCCTCTTTAGACTTTCTGCGAGTCAGAAAGCTGCATAAAAGAGGCAAGAATTTTTTAGTGAAGAACGCAAACAGAAATTGTTTGTCGTTTCTGATACTTTTCTGAAACCAAACAATGTACAAGATCTCAGCGAACATGAGGAAAGAGAGCGATCAGCTTGAAAAGAAGCGAATAACAATATTGTGTGGCTACAAGAAAGTTCTTACTCAGAGCAAAAAAACAAAGAGTCGGAATCAGTACCATCTCATGCCGAAATCACTCCGTACACGCCTCCGTATGTGATCACTTCGCCGAAAAAGACTAGGTACTTGGAGATCGAAAGCCATTCTCAAATCAATCAGAGCAAAAAGAGTATGGAAAATGAGAATGATCAGCGGTATTCGGAAGAGACGAATACGTACCCGGAGGTGGAAGCGGTTTCCCGGCGGGAAAGGCGAGTTTCTGGCGGGAAGGATCAGGAGTAAAAAAGAGAAGCGTAATATGTGATTTTTTAGTTGAGGTTTTGAGTTTGCAAATTGTAAAATTTAAATGGTTATCTATTTAAAATAAAATGTGTATGAATATTCTTTTTAACAAAATTCGTACGAGCTTAATGTAAAAGATGTATCACTAATTTTTTTTGTAAAATTTTAAATCGATAAGAATTTATGAACCAATATATCATTAATAGAATGTACCTAACTATACATTATTATCCATCTCTGCTATTTGATTAAAGTATAAATAATGCACACCATTTCAAATGACATGTTTCAACATTTTAAGTAATGTCTAAAAAAATATACTTTACCATAATTATTTAAGAATATGGTTCAAACTTTATCAAAAGTAATTTTCATAAATTAAATACATCACATTAATACCATAACCCATGGAATTGATATGAAAAAAAAATAGGATAGGAACTCAAAATTGATTTTGATTTTTTTTTTTTTAAGCAGAAAAATGGAAATATTAAAGTTAAAATTGAAAGAAAAAAAATCAAATTCTAAAATATTATGGATAAAATTGAAGAAGGGTAGAAAAGGAAATTGACGAAAAGCATTAAATTTAGAGTCGTAATGATTCATCTTAATAAAAATAAGAATTGAAAAGCAAGCGAAACGACGCCGTCTGATAGTCACAGCATTAAGCAGAAGAAGTCAATGCCCGAACCACAAACCTTGCTGACTGGACAGGGCCCCACTTTCTGACAGTATTGTCAGAGATCAAGGATTTTATCTGGTGCGTTCTTGACTTCCACAACAAACCTACACCTTCATCCACATCCATACATCAAACCTTTTTACCCTATTCTCTCTCTTATTTACCCTCCAAAAACTACTACTTACTATATTTATAATTAATTACACTTTTTAAAACTAATTTACTCTCTCTCTCTCTCTCTCTCCCCCAATTATCCACAATCTCCCGCTCAAACCCTAGCATTTTTTTTCAAGTTACCGAAATTACCCTCGGAATCTACGTCAAGGTGGCATGAGGGAGGGAGATTTTGGGTAATTGGGAGCTGACAGCTTCTTCATTCTTTCCAAACCATGCGAACGGAGCTTATTGCTTGGGTGGCGGTTGTGTCGGCAGCGGCAGTGCAGTATTCTGGTCGACAGCGGTATTGGCATTCTCGAGCTGAGTTGGGCTGCAGCCAAGAGCAGCGTTAATTTGGTGGAGCGTGTTACAGAGCTGGTTGTTGATGGCGGTTACACTAGACAGGTTGAGCTTCGCCGATGGAATGGTGCTGGCTAGAACTTGCAGGCCGACAGTAAGTAAGCAGCCGGAGTTGACAACTGCAGCATTAGTAGCACCGTCCTTGGGTGGCGATGATGCTAGGCGTCCATCGGCAGTCGAACCGACAACGGGGACGATGGAAAATCCTATGGGGAGGAGGGGAATGCTGGAGGAGTCTTCTCCGCTCATGGCTAACTGAATCGAATCGACGTCAATCATAGCGAAGACGACGAGGCTGCCAGACTGGTCCGTGCAGCTCTCCTGCAGCATCAGCTCAACATGCTGGGAGAAATTGCTGGCCACCTGAAAATATTCGTGTAGCTCCCATCAAACAAAATTGGCTGAATATTGAAAATAACTTTAAAATTTTAGCCTAAATTTTTTGGCATTTACATGAAAAACTCACATTGATACGAAGCAGAGATATGCAGTTTCCAGGGTGGGAGCCATTAGCAATGTGAGCAACCTCGTGCAACGAATTCCCATTGGAAAGAACCTCCAGCTGAACCCATCCATGTTCAACCACATAGATAAAACGTTAAATTTACGGAATTAATATATGTCAAGAACGGGAAACAGACTTCAAACCGTGAAACCGAAAGTTCAATCTTCACTAATATTCACCACTTTTAAATATGACTACCCGCTAAAATTTATTAAAAAAAATATAGTAACTAATTCATAAAATATATTTTATAACTAATTAATTACCGTTATACAACAAAATATATTTCAAAAATATCTTTATATCTTAAATCAAAAGGTTAAAATATACCTGAGATCGCTGTCGTTCATCTCGAAGAAGATCGAAGACACGGTAATGAGGATAGGGAAGCCAAGTGGTGGAGACAGCACTAAGAATAACCCCATTAGGTTGGCCAGGCTCGACGATTTTTCGGGTCGTTATACGGACGGTATCATCAGGAGAATCGGACAACGCCGTCCACGACTGGCCACCGGAGGTGCTTATGTTAAGTGAGAAAGTTCTGGTCATTCTTTGGGCCAATTTCATTAAGTTCTGTCTTGCTTCTGGTGAAGGTATCACTGAAAAAACCCCCGAAGAAACCATTACATAACATGGTTTTATTAATTAAAGTTTAAAAAGAATCATAAAAGAGAGAGAACCTCCAAGATCAGAAATGTTTCGAGCCATGAGGCTTGCAATTCTCTCGCATTGTCTTTGTAAAATAGCCAACCAGCGATGCGCCCCAAAAGCCATTCCACTATGAACAAAATTATTGAATATTTGATGGATTGGCTTCTCTTCGATCTCTGCGTGCTCCACCCATGTAACCTACGAGATAAAGGGTAAAACACGACTCTAAACATAGTATGATATGAGTATAAGCTCTCATGACTTGCTTTGGACTTCACCAAAAGGCCTCATGTCAACATGGAGAGTATTATTTGATTATACTTTGATTATAAACGATGATCATTCCCTAAATAAGCCGATATGGAACTTTCATCATCCAACAAAGAATAAGTAATAAAAGATTAATTTTTTCCTTCATTTTTTGATAATTAAATTTTACCCTTGAATATCCGTTGGGCATGTCTTGGATAATGCAGCCGGAGGGCCTTCTCCTGTATCTGGGAAATGAATGTTGGAGGCTGTCGTGAAAGCTGTCGATCGGAAAATCAACAATTGCCCAGCTGCCTTCATCGGCGTTCTGCTGGCAGCACCGGAGGAAATGGGCTTCCCTCGTCGGAATTAATGGAGAAAGAGCTTGAAGTTCGGAATACATCTAAAACAAAATCCAAAACGGAGAAAAGTTACTCTTTTTTGGAGATGGGAAGAATTGGAAGTTCTTGTGGATTTTTATGGTTTGATTTTGTTACCAATCGAAGGGAGCCGCTCGCATGGCCTGAAACACTTGATGAAATGATTTGCACAGTTTTTGCTTTGGCCACGAGTGAAGGGAATAACTCCATCCATTTGTTCTGAAAATCAAATTCCCAATTCAAAAAGAACCCTCAATTTTTCGTGTTACAGCGCTAAATTATATTAAGAAACTTACCGCGTCGAGAAAGGCATCGACAAGAGTGATGCTGTTCATTATAACAACGGCGCTATCACGAGTGGCTTCGGTTCTAAACTCATTCATCAAGTGTTGTTTGAGGTTCAATGGCCATGGAAACATCCTGGCATGTTCTTCTACATTTAAAACTTCCTTACCGCTCTCGCTGTTTCGAATCCAAAGCGGCTCGGTTAAGCGGCACATCTTCACGAGTTCAGCCATGGACGATATAGCAAGATCCATAGCTAATGTTTTTTCCTCCTCAATTAATAGACCGCCTTCTGGGAAGTGAGCGGCGTTGGGCGGGAGCATCGACCCCAGTGGCATCATTTCGGAGGATGAAGCCATGGCCTCTGTGTATTGCCTTGAGTATATGTTCATGTCCAAATCAAGAGATGGTTGCATAAGAGGGGGAGCTGTGGAGGACATCACTTGGAGTGAACGACCAGTGTATCTTGAGGTGAAGGAGCAAACTTGTTCCAACTGTCAACATAAGAATTTTGAAGCACTATTATCAAATTGTATATGAATATTGTTAACCATACAAATCCCTTTTTTTAGGGTTTGAATATCATTTAAATTTGCATATATTAAAATATATGCAACTATCCAGTCCATTTCTAGCCGATATTCGTTGACTTTACTCGAGGTTTTTAAAACACATATGATGTGGGATCTTACAATCCACTCTCATTCAGAGATTAGCATCCTTGTTGACACACTGCCTCGTATCCACCCCCTTTCAAGGTTTAACCTTCTCGGTAAACCGATGTGAGATCTCACAATCCATTCCCTTTCAGGGCCCAACATCCTTGCTGGCATACCGCATCATGTCCACCCTCTTTCAGTGTTTAGTTTCCTCGCTGGCACATCACCTAGTGTCTAGTTCTAACAAGTGAAAAATGAACGCGTTTACCTGTTCTCTAAGTCTAGCATTCTCAAGGCGAAGCTGCTGTTCATCCAAGCTTGGCTCTCCAAGGATACCTTGCCCTCCACAGCTAGGGCATATAATGTTTCTTAAGGCAGTTTGCAGTTTATAATTCTCATTCTTCAAGGTATCATTTTCAGACCTAAGTATCACATTATCCGATCTGTCTTGTTGTGCCTGAAAAACAAATCAAATCAAATTAAACTAAATTAACCACAAATTAAGCCTCTAAAACACAGTTAAAAGTTGAAGGGAGAGCATTTAATTTGTAATGCCATTGGGAAACACAGACACTTGAGCAGTTAGGGTTATAAATACAGCAACCACAGGGTCACATTAATGAAGGACAGACTGTAAAAAGAAAGAAGACAACCATGGGAGCTTATAAAGATCTAATTTTTAAAAAAAATTATATTTTATGTAAACATCATAATGGGTACCCAGTTCCCAGTTTAGGGTAAAAGGCTCTTCAATGGGACCATTAATAAGAACTTTTCTTGAGAATTGAGCTGAAATATTAAATGGGTTTGCATGATTTCACCTAAAACATAGCTCAAAGGTTAGAGGTTCGAATTCTCGATCAGATTCAATTTATTTACAAACCTTCATTTGGGTTCTTCGATTTTGGAACCAAAACTTGACTTGGCGAGGTTTGAGGCCGAGTTCTTGGCTGAGTTTGAGCCGCTGCTTGTCATCTGGGTGTGGACATTCCTTAAACAAACTGTCAAAAGCAACAAACGTTGGTGTTGTTCAAATGTAAGAATAAAAAACGAAGCTAAAATAGAGAAAAAAAAAAAGGAGAAATTTACGCTTCCATTTCTTGGATCTGGCGAGCAGTATGTCTATGATAGCGTTTTTTCTTCTGATTTTGCAGAATAATATTATCATTACTTTCCATTTCAATTCCTGGGTTTTCTTCAACGAGCTGTTCACTTCCAGACCCACTTTCTATATCTTCTTTTCCTCTCGTAATCATCCCATTTTCTTCCTTCTGAGAGATAAAAATCCAAACTATTTTGAAAAGAACACAAAAAAAATGAAGAAATAACAAAGGGGAAATTAAGAACTTACAGGAACGACGGAAGGGAAGTGGTGGAAATTGGAAATGAAGTTGAAATTAGGGTTTTGAATGGGAGAAGAGAAGAGAGATTCAGAGGAAGCCATGTTTGCTCCCATATTGCTTGACATCACTTGGCAATCCCCATACATTCTTCTCCTTTATATAAATATTATTACGTTGCTTTAGACACCAACCTGCAACAAAATAATATTAAAAAAAATCAAAGAACTGCTTAGATTCTGAGCATGCAAAGATATTAACAGAATCAAACCTTAAAACCCCATGAAAATTCCTCCAAAATGGACAAAGTTTTTACCTTTTTTCTTCATTTCGGAAGGGGAAAAAAAAAAAAAACACTGAAAGAGAGATTTTCAGTGACAAATACCCAAAAAAAAAGGAGAATAAAACATGCTTTACCTCTGTCTCTCTCTTCACTGTCGGTGGTTTCCAATGGATAAACAGAAGAAGAAGAAGAAGAAGAAGAAATGTGTGTTAAAATTTAGACCCACAAAGACAAAACAAAGACATCCATTGTTTTGTTCTTTCTCTCACTAAAAATCTCACATTTTGCAGAAAAGGAGAGAGCTTTGAGCCCTTACAAATGTGAACACATCGACAATAAAATAATTGTCCCCAAAAATTTTCTTTTTTTTAACCGTTAATGTTCAGAATTTAGACCGTCCAACCAATATCCACCTTCTGTAATTTTTTTTTTTTTTTTTTTTTTTTTTTTTTTTT